AGCCACCGGGTCCGGGATGCGATCCGCGGTCAACTACATAGGACTCCAGTGACATAGCCATTATGCTAACTGCTGGTCCCACAGCTTGAGCATTTTAAGAAGGTGAGTAAGGCTTTTGAAATAGATAAAGCAGAACATAAAAAGTATCTGGTCAAGGAACACAGTTGAACATAAAGGGTTCAGGGAGGATACTAGAAAAAGAACTGAGAAGAGTTGGCAGTCTGATCACAGAGGGCCTTCAAAATGAAACAAAATAGTCCTGTTTTTTCTTGTAAATGGTACAGAAGTCTAAGAGTTTGAGTCAAGATTTAGCATGATAATTTTACTAAATATGCTACACTGACAGATCTCAAGAGCCAAAGGCTAGAAACAGAAAAACTTAAAGCTACAGATTGAGATGAGTAAGAAGAACCTGAACTAGGGTTAACAGAAATGGGTAAAACAAAACAAAATGAAACAAAAAACTATTACAAAGAGGGCCAACTCTGTGATACAGCAGTAATATGTTGCCCAAGAGAAGCAGGATCACACATGGTGACTACAGTTCAAATCCCTAGCCTGGTCAATTTGAAAAATGGCAGGCAAGCACTTGAATACCCTAGACCCAACAGGCTGGAAGACCGGAGGGGCAAGATCATGACATGACCAGACTTTGGGGAGGGTATTCATCTCTCTCATTCACATGTATGCACTCTATTATAAATAAAGAAGAACAAAAACTGTATTACAAAGAAATAGAAAGACCTGATAATTTTTTGAATATAGGGAATGGGTTAGATAAAGTATAAAGTTGGGGCTGATAGGTGGCATGATGGTTAAGGCACTGGACTCCCACATGTGTGACACCAGTTCAAGTTAAAGACCTGGTGGCTTGCTTTCTCATGCTCCTTCTATGATAAAACTGAATAATAATAAATAAAATTGAATAAATCTTAAAAAAAAGTATAAAGTAGACAGGGAGGAGTCAAAGATTCAAGTAAGTACCTGAGAAAGATATTATTAACCACCAAGAAAAATACTGTAAAGTCAAGGAAGAAAGTTAATCCTAAGAATAAGTTTGGTTAAATTTTGGATACATTTGATTTGAGGTACGGTCAAATGAAACAAATGGAAATAATATAATAATCAGCTAAATATTTTTATCCGTGGGACTTTGTAGGTCAGGTATTAATTCAACGGGCCAAGACTCATCTACAAAGTGACAGAGATGAAGGGTAAGTTGGAGGAGAAAAACCTACCATGGAAGGGAGGGAGGAGAAAGGATTATAGCATGATTAGGACTCACTGAAGAGTTTGCTTCTTTCTTTCTCATGCATATACCTTCTGGCATATAAAAGTAAAATAAGAACAGCCACATCTGTATGTTGCTTCTTAGGACAAGATAAGCAGGTGCCAAAAACTGTTGAGTCAAAGTAAAAAGAAACTTCAAAAGCAATTCAGTATTTGCCGGTGACCCCCAGAATAGCTTGAACATGAGCAGCAGGGACAGAAGCTAGATTCCAGGCAGGTAGGGGTAGTGGTAGAGTGGCACAAACAACATCAACAAGGGAGATTGATGACTTCCTACCTAAGGATATATACAAGATAGCTACAGTAAACATGATCAAGTAACAGAGCCAAGCTTGAAGCCATAATCATAACCTTAAAAAAGAAAAACAAAAACTTCCTACTGCTACCAGCTTTACCTAATAGGAAAACAGAAGATAATCACAAGAAACCTAAAAAAGAACTGTGAGAGCTCTTAGTTAAAATGAAAGATTTAGTGATCACATGGCTTTTATATTTACTGCAGTAGAATTTAGTAACTTTGGAAAGGGGAGTAAGACAAGGGAACAGCTAACTAGAGAGATGACACTGAGGCTGGTTATACTAGACTACTGTTTATGAAACCAGAATAGCAGACTTACGCAAAGGAACTGTGCTTCTGAAAACCAAAGACAGTATGACAGGTCTCCAAAGAGTTCATGGATAATGCATATTATTAAAGAAACTAAACATGAATTTCAAAACTCTTTTATACCAAAGTAAATTTGTACTTTCATTCAAATTTTTTCACAAACTTTTAGAAGTCCTCTTTTGAAAAAGTCTAGCCAATCTGAGCAAGAAAGTTTTGTTTCATGCTCAGATTGGCTGGAGGGCACATGCACTTGCCAAAAAAAAAAAAAAAAAAAAGAGGGAAAGGGACATGGGAAATGGTCACAGGGCAATTCCTTCTCCTCCATCTCTCCATCCTTTTTGGATTTTGGGGGCATGCAGGTACGTGTGCCCAGTACGTTTCTCAAGCTAGTTACCGAAGAAAAAAAGACTCGAACTATGTGGCTGGCCATGTGGGATCCAGCTGGCTGCCTTAACCACCAGGCCATGGAGACTCAGTTAATGATAAATAGCCACTTCATAGCTAGAAAATTTAGAGTAACACCTTACCTGTACAAATAAAGTTAATGAGAAAGATTCTATTAGGTCATCGGAAAAGATATGACATATTTTTCCATGTTTTCCTATGCAAAAATGCGACATGACTTTTCTGATGACCTAAAAAACACATATATTACTTTCTAGTAAAAATTATGACAATACAGAAAATACACTATAAATAGAATTTTTACATCGTTAAATGTTAGATCAGATGACTACTATGGTTACTGCCACAGAAGATTCTACTCTTTAATTATAATGTCAACCTAAATATCCACAACTAAGGCATAAAATTCTTTTCAATAATGAGTAATCAATTTACAATTATTAGTCATTAAAAAAGCAGAGCTCATGAGCCAGATATTAAGACTGAACCTGTAACCTTAATTTCTAATACTACCTGCTAAGGCAACTGATGGGGTAGGGGGTGGTAGTGGTGAAAACCTGGTATCATAACCATTTGAGATGTTTTTAAGTACATGGATTGTGATTCCATAAGCCAGTCACCCCAAATCATAATTTCTGTTTGAAATTCAACAATCTTGACTGAACTGCAGTGCTGGAAACCTTTTGACTAACTACAAGTTCAGACCACTGGTAGACCTGAAAACATGCCAGATATGTTGAAGAGCTAGGGAGAGGGAACTGCAACATAATGAGACCATATCAAGGGTGTTTCCCCCATCTCATGTACATGTGTGCACTTGCTTTCACAACTTAAAAGGTACCCAAGAGAATTCTGATTATCAAATAGATTTTAGAACCACTGTTTGCAAATAGGCTTCCCAACAGGAAAATCAGTGCTTGAAACTGCCAAAAACCCCAAATCTACCCAAATCTTTATTCACCCTGTTCCTTCCAAATATGAAGTAAAAATAAACCTAGGAGAGATCCTCATGGCATAGCAGTTAAGCAATGCAGAAAGATAGCTAGATTCTCCATAGCTAACCAGGGTTCAAAGCTCAGCTACAGCGTGCAGGTAAAACGAATGCACATGCCATGATCCTGAGGAGATGGGTAACCGGAGGAAAAGGACTGCACTGTGACCAGGCCTTCTGGGGAGTGACTTATCTTTTTCTCTTTCTTTGTGCATATACTCTTTAACAAAATAAATAAATAAATAAATCTCAAGGGCATGGAATAAACCAATTTCTATAACTTTGCTTCTGTTTTCTCGTAAAGTTTATGATAAAGATGCAGAAGATAAAAATGTAAAGTTATGCTTTACTTATTTGTAATTAGAAAACAAGTAAGTCAATTTCCATCTTGGAGCACAGAGAGTGCCAATGTACTTAATTATTAAAGCTGTCAAAGAATGTGATAAAGCTAAAAAGATAATCACAAATGATAATAGTAACCAAGAGTAAGAAAAATACATTTTGACCAAAAAAAAAAAAAAAGACTATGTCTAAGAAGCACTAGTTGTCCACTAAAAATTATTACTGAGCCTAGGGTAACTCTTTAGTTAATAAACTAAAAAAATTGTTTTCTGAATTTTGTACCTTTGAGATCTCAAGAGTAAATTATCCATTTTCTTCTTTAAATGGAAAAAACAGCATTCTGAATCTTTTGCTTTCTCAACATTACAAATTTACCTTAGTTAATTTTAACAAATTTATTTTTTTGGAGAGGTTTTTGCTATGGGGCGCGTGTGCTTGCCAGACAGACAGACAGACAGAGAGATAGAAAGCGAGAAATCACTCCCCAGGGGGGATAGCCACGCCACAATCCCTTCTCCATTCTCCTCCCGGGATCTTGGGCATGCATGCACATGCGCCCAGCATGAGTTTTAAGCCACCAGGTCTGGGACATGAACCATCGTCGACTACATGGGAGTCCAGCGACATAGCCATTACGCTAACTGCTGGTCCCATCAACAAATTTCTTGTACTTAATCCTTCTTTTTCTTTTGAGAGGTTTTCGCTATAGGGCACGTGCGCTCGCCAGACAGACAGAGAGAGAGACATAGAGACCGAAAGCGAGAAATCACCCCCCCAGGGAGGATGGTCACGCCGCAATCCCTTCTCCATTCTCCTCTCAGGATCTTGGGCACGCACGCACACGTGCCCGGCGTGAGTTCTAAGCCACCGGGTCCAGGACGCGAACTATGGTCAACTACGTGGGAGTCCAGCGACACAGCCATTACGCTAAGTGCTGGTTCCCACTTAATCCTTCTTGAAAAAATTTCTTGGCCTGGCCTGAGTGGCAGGGTACTACTTTATAATGCTGAAACAACACGGGTTCAGATCTCTGACCTAGGCACACCAAATGCATGCCTGTAATCCTAGATAACTTGGAGGTTGGGGTCAAGGACTGGGAATATCAATATCTTCACAAAAATACCTACTCTTTCTTCCTTCTTCTGTAATTAAAATAACAGCCCCCCCTAAGAAAATCAATTTTCTTTCACCGGTCCCTTGTACATACAAGGAAATTATCTTGCAAGTACTACATCACCCAAATACTAAACTAAGGAAAATATTAGAGATCTCACCTTTTGAGTAACATTTAAAAGGATTCCTATTAAAACATTGAAATAAGCTAACATTTGTTAATTACAAACTAATCAAGCTTAAAGTACTTACCTGAAATAAGAGCTACATGTTGCAAGAACCATCTTATGACAAGGGAACTCGGTGCCCTCAACAATTAATACTATGTCAGTAAACAACTGCTGTTCATAAAACAATTTCAACTGTTCCAACAAGGACACAGCATATTCAGTATTGATCTGCCTTTCGTCTTGAGTGGACATGACTGTATTCCATTAAACTCTCCCAGAACCGATGATAAAAGTCAGTGTTACTGATGGAAGGCCAAGTGAATACTTCAGAAATAAAGGAGAAAGTCTACTTGCTGTTATCTGAAGCATTCAAAACGAAGAGTGATGAATTCACTAATGAGTATTATATCTTGTTATAGGCTTAGAATCACTCCTAGGTCATCCTGTGTTAATTTTTCAACACAGTCTGTAGATATCTTGCTCAAACTTGCAACTGTGCAGCTCATGAGTGAAGGAGAAAAATAAGCTAGGTAGATTTTGTGGCAACATCCTTTGTCCAGGGGATCATCTGGAATAACTAACAAGAAAAAAAAAAGTTGTTAAGAGTATTTTGGCCATTACATTTTTAAAATACAATAAAAAGGGTCTTAAATGTAAATGATTTAAAATTCAACTTTGGCATAAAAATGAAATGAGAAATGTTTTACTACATTTAAAATTTTTTAAAAAATGAAAATATTTGTTTTAACTTTTTGCTTTCTATACAAAATATACAACCCACCCCAAGTAACGAGTAACCATACGTTTTTATTCAAGTTCTTTAAAAATTTATCAATTTACACCTGTTGAAATATCCACTTTGTAATACAAAAAATAATGTGATTGAATTTATAAAATTGAATAAAAAAATGATAAAAAATTATCAATTTAAAATCACCAGAAAAGCCAGATTTCCTAGTTATTTGATTAAGGGTAACAGATGACTATAATTTAAGAAAACAAAGCCAAAACCTCTCTTGCATGGAGTTTCTCATTCTTTAGATATATTTCAAATACATTCACAAATGCTGCCTATTTAAATTACTTAAACTATGTGGTAAACAGATACAAACTTTATTTCTGAAGTATAACTATGTATTTTAAAATTCACAGTTCAATTCTGTAAGAAAATCATATGTAATAAACCTCTTTGGAGGATGGTTTCCTTCCTAGGAGCATACAATTTTACTGAAAAACAAAAACAAAAAAAAACAAACCAAACCAAACCATAGAACAGTGCTGGCTGCCATGTCCTTGTAGTCAAAGGAGTCAGATCCCACAGGGCCAACCAACTATGGTTTGAATCCCAGCCCCATATCTTGAAAAACACATAGGTGCATGTGTGTGCATGCCCCGAATCCCAACGGGATGGAGAAATGGAAAAGGGATTATGGCATTCCATTTGGGAGGATGCTTTCTCCCAGTCACTTTGTCTCTGGTGAGTGTACAACATGCTCTGCCACAAAAACACACAAAAGAAAAAGGAACAATTGAGGCAGAAGAAGCCAGGCCTTCAGAAGGAGGTTCCACATGGCTCCTGTGAACTAGGTATTTTGCGCAGAGCACAAGCGCGCCGCGCGGTTTTCTATTTTGTGATATTTTTTAAAAAAGGAAAACAGTTAATTACAATATTTTTCGTTTTTATTTTTACTTTTTTTCTCTGTTATTTTTTTCTCTCTCTTTTTCATTTCTCTTTTTCTTGTCTCTCCACTCTCCAATATCCATTTAATGTGTTTTTAGAAGGATCTAAGAGCACTGTAGCTAAACATCCAAATACTAATAGGGTTAAAATATTCCTCAATATCTACTGAATCTGCTGCACCTGCGATCACAACAGAACAGCGAAGAGATTCTAGATCACCTCTGTTTGCTTGCCCCTGAACATTCAGACTGACCTTCAAGAATTTGAAAGAAACACACCATCCATCAGATGACAAGACATCACCGCCGGATAACAAGAAATATGGGAAAACAAGAAAATAGCTCTCCTCCAAGGGAAAAAGAGTAACTCTTCTTCATCCACAAGCAGTTCGGTGAAAATCATGGAAATGTCTGATAAGGAATTTAGAGCATTCATAATGTCAAAGCTAACAGAGATGGAAGAGAAGAGAGA